CAGTAAGTGTCCCATGCTGTCACATTGTTCTGGTGTTTATCTGCAGTCATCCAACAGTAACATGTTTCTGCCCAGACTGATTCTGATTCAAGTACAAAAGTTATAAAAGTAATTTTTACTGTTCATCCTGTCTGCAGCTTCAATGAGCTCATTACTCCTGTGTGCTGTTACAGCGCCACCTATGGGCCTTCAGTGGTACTGCAGACAATGTCCAGACTGTCAGAACAACAACAACAACAACAACAACAACAACTACAACAACAACAACAACAACAACAACAACAACAACAACAACAACAATAATAATAATAATGTCTTTTATTTGTAAGGCACTGTATTTTTTACAGAAAATCTACATGTGCTACAGTGGAAAAAAGACAGGTTTTCAGGCCTAACAGGAGTTTGGGTTTGGTTCGTTGGGGTCCCCACAGATAACCAGATCCAAAATCCAGAGGTTAGGTCAGGCACGGGTCCAGAACCAGGAGTCAGAAATCCAAAACCTATCCAGGGATGAGCAAAGCTCAGAGTTTGGGGCACAGAAAACAGGTTCAGGAGGTGAAAGGCTTGGCAACAATCAGACAGAGAGCTCTGGCAGGGGCGTGTTTAAATATTTAGAATAGACCCCAATCCCTTATAAATATACCTATATGTACAAATAGAGTGTTAAACTAGATACCACATAGCAGTAACATAATGACCCCCACACACAAATGCACCAGAACTCAGAAGTCTTTATTCCTAATAAATGTCATGCTACTAGGTGCATTCCAAAATTGTAATGGTTTGGGTGGGTTTCTTTTTTTTTTTGTTGGGGGGGGATATTGGTTGACCTGATGGACAGCCCCTCATCTATAAATAACCAAAGAAAATCCGAAGCTCCTATGTTTAATAGTTTTTGAGCTATAACCATTTTTGTATGTCCAGATACCCCTTTTTCAGAAAAATTGGGGTCCGGTGGGGTGGGGGCACTGATTGGTGGGCCTGATGGATAGAGCTTCATCAGAGCTAAACAACAAAAGTAATCTGAAGCTTCTATGTTGAACAGTTTTTCAGCAAAAACCCTTTTTGTATGTCCAGATACCCATTTTTCAGAAAAATTGGGGGTCCGGGGGTGGGGGTCACTTATTGGTGGGCCTGATGGATAGAGATTCATCAGAGCTAAACAACAAAAGAAATCTGAAGCTTCTATGTTGAACAGTTTCTGAGTTATGAGCATTTTTGCATGTCCTGACACCCCCACTTTGAAAAGCGCCCCCTCCTCAAATATGGGGTCYATCATAAAAGCGTTGGCTGGTGCAGTGTAGGTCAGACTCATCTACAGTCCTGACAAATTTCACGTTGACAGGTGCAGCTGTTTTTGTGCTACAGTTGACCAAAAATCACTGAAAAAAAAACCTGGATATCACATAGCGGTAACATAACGACCCCCCCAAGCACAAATGCACCAGAACTCAGAAGTCTTAATTCCTAATAAATGTCATGCTACTAGGTGCATCCCAAAATTGTAGTGGTTTGGGTGGGGG